ATCTCAGCAAAGTTGTGATTGTATTTCGATTAGTACCCTGCCGCGAAATTGTAGTAGGCAGAAAATAAAAAGGTATAACATTATAACCATAATGTTGCTGAGATATTTGCAAAACTCTGGCCCGCTGGTGTATGTGGTGGAGAACGAACATGCTATTACTTTTTGCGAGGGTAAGGAGTTCACCACCACACTAAGCGAGTCCTTCCTTTAATGTCCATAATGTTTTTTAGTCCATAATAATGATCAAAATGTGTATTACTATCTGATCCGAAATTTTTCAGCTCCTTCATCAGGAGACTTCGAAATTTAAAGAAAAATGTCGTGTTTTCTATACAAAGTAAGTCCATTTTCTATGTCTATTAGAAACCTATGATTATTTTAATGCTTTGATTCACAATAACGTAAAGAGTGAAGAACAGGATAAAGCTGTCGGCGTTGATCAATCCCTAAATGACGCGCCATGCATTCGACTTCATTAAGCATCGTTTGGAGGTGATTGAATGCATATCCGGCCTTTACAATGACTCGCGGTGGCCGATCAGTGTATCAACCCAGTGCTGTTATCCTTCCAAACAAGTCTGGTACCAATTTGCCGACCAGAAAGGGATGAAAGACTTATCGGGCCATGGGCGTGGGGATCGGTTTCAAGTGTGTGTTGCAGGAGGCCTCCAACCACTGCTCCAGACACGCCTTTAACGTAAAGAGTAGTGGACGATATTCATGCGTGAATTGTTTCACACTGCTTTTAAAAGTTTCCTTTTTTGAAAACCAACTACATGTAGATTATCCAATTTCAATTCCTTCTTTAATTCTTTAAAAAAAACCTCATTATAACACAAGTTTTCTCAAGGGAGGAACTACTCACCACCAACATTGGTGGGCGGTCTTAAATGCAACTATGCAGAACACTTATCCACTCGGTTGAGATATTTGAAAATAAATAAGATCTTCGCTGCATAAAGCACCAAGTCGTTCCAAAATTCATAAAAAGAAAACGACTATACGAAGTATGCGGACTGCCAAAGGATGACCACCGGGTACTGGACATCGAATTGCAACTGCTGCGCACCTGTCTACAAAGCAAACAAAAACAGATGTTCGCTAAGTGGAAGAAGTGCGAGAAGAAAGAAAATTATTGTGCTCAGTATTTGGAGGACCGCCTCTGGAGGAGAATAGTGGACGGGTCAGTGTTGATTTGCAACTCTATTAGGTCTAATGCTAAAGTAACTTTGCGGAGAAAATTCGAAGACCTTTTGAGTAAATCGCATAACACGGCGTCAAGAGCATGCAGAAATACCGCCAACGAAGATCGAACGATTCACAGTAGGATAAATAATGTGCAAAGAAATTCAAGGTTGAGCGTGCTAGGAGGCATAACCCTCCCTGACGGTGCGCGCTCGTTATTAGAATTGGGACCGAGTTTCTCACCATCTGAACCCATTTCTAAGATAACCTTGCGTAGGGTCGCATGTAGTTTACATGAACTTCAAGATAGACTCCGCAAAAAAGCTAGGGATAAAGCGCAAAATAGGCGCGAACAACAAAAAGTAGGGGCAATACCAGCACCACCATTTCCTCAACCGTTCTTTAGACAACAAGAGCCCATTAATGAAGTTGATGTTAAATTTCGAATGTTTACGAATGAAACTTTCAAAGTCCTTAATCACTATCACGCTAAGAGATACTGCTCCAACCTCACTGAAATACAAAAACGTGGCATGCGGGAGGTACGAAAGCTGATAAGATCAAAAAACATAAGACTATCGGTTGGTGATAAGGGTGGAGAGTTCGTTGTAATTCCCCATCAGTTAGATGTTGAGATAACGGAAAGCACCTTGAAGATGCTTCCCTTTATCGTGCGCCGTCTGAGAAGGAACTTAAAAGTCAATACCGAAAGTTAAACAACGAATGGGTTAAAGTGGCAAGAGCTTCTGGGTTAAAACCATCAGTTATCTCTCATCTCAAAATTGTCTTACCAACACGTCCCGTCTTGTACTTACTTATCAAAACCCATAAGTTAGTATCCAGCGATGATCTGTCTACCGATTCATCGTTATTTAAGGTTAGACCTATCATTAGCTGCGTGGACGGGCCAACGGATAGAATAACGTGGTTAATAACCCTAATACTTTTACTCAGTTGTTGAAGTACATTCCAGCTCATCTAACGAACACCCAAATGTTCCTGGATCGTTTACGTAACGCGCGACCCAACAGCGCGTACGTGGTGAAGGCCTTCGACGTCATTGCCCTCTATCCGAATGTGTCGAATGACTCCGCTATGCAAGCCGTAAACGAGCTCCTTATAAAACACGAAGGAACAATAAACATGTACGGCTTCTCGATTCAGCAGTTGATGACACTTTTAAAGGAGTGCCTAAACTGCTCAATCTTCAGATGGTACGGGAGGTATTACGCACAAATGAGAGGGTTGGCAATGGGACAACGACTGGCACCAAGCCTTGCCATTGCATTCATGTCTAAGGTGGAAGCGCCAGTAATCGACCTCGGTTCATTACTCTACTGTAGATATATGGATGACTGTTTGGTCATTTGTTCAACGCAAGAAGAAATCAACAGATGTTTCGAGTTGTTGAACACACAGTCAGAGTATATTAAATTCACCCAAGAAAAACCAAAAGAAGATTGGCTTCCATTTCTGAACGTGCAAATTAGCCTATCAGAAAACGGCTACATTACGAAGTGGTATCGAAAGCCAAGTAGTGAAAACATCCTAGTTCATTACCTCTCCTCTCATCCCTCTCACACGAAAAGGGCGCTNTGGTCATTTGTTCAACGCAAGAAGAAATCAACAGATGTTTCGAGTTGTTGAACACACAGTCAGAGTATATTAAATTCACCCAAGAAAAACCAAAAGAAGATTGGCTTCCATTTCTGAACGTGCAAATTAGCCTATCAGAAAACGGCTACATTACGAAGTGGTATCGAAAGCCAAGTAGTGAAAACATCCTAGTTCATTACCTCTCCTCTCATCCCTCTCACACGAAAAGGGCGCTTGTGAGAAACATGTATCGAAAAACTACCAGCGTGTGCACAGGGAGACAACAGAGAGAGGAGTACCGGAACTTAGCGCGGCAAATAGCCATTTTTAATGGCTACGAAACCGTAGCTCCAGATAGGTGTAGAGGAAACCACAGGTACCCCAACGATAACTCTAGCGACAACAAGGTCCTGTTTATACTGCTCTTTATTTCAAATGAAGTAAGTGCGGCTATAAAACGCTGTCTAAGAAGGGCCAGTCTAGAGAATTCGGTAACGATAATCGAAATACCACCGAATAATCTAAAGCGCCAGCTAGTTCGTAACCGCCTATACGACCGTCTATGTGCAACGCAAAATTGCATAATTTGCCCCAATGGTAGAGACGGTGACTGCATGAGTTCGGGTACAGTCTATCTGATCTCTTGTAAAGCGTGCGGGGAAGAGTACGTTGGCGAAATGGGTAGACCACTCTGCGTACGTATAAAAGAACACCTAGCCGGCAAACGTAAGCTAAGTACTCCACTAGGTACGCATAGCACGCAGAAACATAACGGAGAAGATTTTGAAGGGTTACGATCCTCGCGCAAGAATCGAAAACACAAGCGCGCAAAACTCTAAAGGCATTCTGGATAAATTCCAAGAATCCGAAAATGAACCGCAGGGAGGAATGCCTTGTTATCACGCGTGATATTGGGCAGTATATAAACCTGTTATTCTGATGGGAGGGGCACATTACGCTTCCATGCGAATTCTGTGCGGTCGGTCTTCACGCGATATACTCAGTGGAAGACTCATAGAAGGCGGTGAGTGTGCGGAGCTGTGTCCAATGTGATTGAAATCTTGGTTTAGCGTTTTCTCTGTTTGGTGATGGAGGTGTTTGGCCGAGTGGATTGCTGTCAACTTGACCCTTTCAGGTTCTGAGGAAGGCGAAATCCGCCGAAACGTCAGCTTGTGCGTAAATAAAGAAATATAATAGCACCTCGTGTTTGCTGAACAGAAGTAGAAAGATATAAATAAGATCTTTCATTTTTGCTGAAAGCTTTGAATTAGTTGAATTTGGAGCCATTTCAGGCAGTGGTTTCAGATACTATAATATTTTAACCGCAACCGCTCTATGGCTGTTTCTTGTCGGTTTTGCATTTCGAATGCAACCGTCACTACGACATTCCTATGGACGAGTGATTCTCTCATGCAGTAATGTTCTGTGGTATATGAAGGTTAGCGTATTTTTCGATTTTCTACGAAGCTTCTCTTCGAGCTAACTTTTTTCCCATTTTACCAGACTATGTAATCGATTTTCGATCTCCGTAGCATTAATGATTTTGTCAAATAAGTTCACCTCTTAGTAAATTTTCTCACCATTGCTTTACTGTCGCATTGCGTTAAATCATAGCTGTGCCGTAGCATAACCAAAAATCGCCTAGAGATCATTTCCTTCTTGTGAAGAACACTGATTTAGAAAATTAAGGTGAAAGAGAAACATTTTGAAAAAGTCTAGAGATTGGTTGAGAGAAGGGAAAGCAAGGGCCTCAGTGGTGCAGTGGATAACACGAGAGACCTCGAAATGAGTACTCGCGGGCTATAACTTGACTCGAGTTCTGAATTTTACAAATAACTCAGCGTTAACTTAGTTGTATTTCACCTATTACGCTGCGATGAAAAAATAAGGGGCAGTGAATAAAAAGTTATACACCGTGATTTCGACTGAAGCCTGCACCATTGAGAATGCCGATTTGTGTTCCGCTAGATCAATCCAGCTGATGGGAAATTGCTAATAGCAACGTTAGGTTGAAGTTCTATGAGAAAGGCAAAACAAGTGCCTCAATGGTGCAAGGGCAACAGGTGACCCTGCGGAAAGGACGATCGTGGGTTCGAATATGGCCTCGAGTCTGAATTTAGCAAATATCTCAGCATCATTGTGGTTGTATTTCACACAGTACCCTGCCATGAAAAAACAGACGGCAAGCAAAATGTTACACATAGCCTGCAATTGTTTTCCTGACGTGAGAAACACTTCAATTCTTGAATTTTTCCGGAAGATTTGCGTTGCTCGTAATTCGAACTTTCGACGTTTGGCTCACATTAGCTCTACAAGGGACTTTATCTCGCTTTTCCGACCATTGATTGCCAAACTGCTTGGAAGCATAAAATCATCTGCGTCAACGAAGTCGAATGTTCCAGGTACTCGAGTATCTCTCAGCGCATCCGCTACTCGGTCCGTACATTCAAATGGCAGCAAAAATGGTCGTGTCTATGTTCTACATTATTGTTCTTCTATTAGTTACGTTGATGGCGTTCGGTGTTTCACGTCAAGCGATCACCTATCCACATGAGAAATGGAACTGGTTACTAGTACGGTACGGAACTTATTTGTGCCTCACTACAAATCCAGTGCTTTTTACCTGGGTGTGGAATTGTTGTCGGTTCTCACTCATACGTACCACAGTAGGTTCTGACACTTATAAATTTTGACATTTCCATTAGGAAACTTAGGCAAAGTAAAGCAAAGCGATGTATTATTGTTTTTTAGTAACATACTAGCCAATGGCTGGTATGGTGATGAGGTAGACCCTAGCACGGCTTTCTATCTTTATCGAGGAAAAGAACGTCTTGCCCACTCTACTATGAATGAAAATTGGAATGAAGTCCACACCATTGCTTCTGATTTGTGCATGTTATCCATTTATGTGCTGGAACTGATAAGGAAAGTCATTGTCGTGGAGACGCGTAGCGCAGCGCTTAGAGTTAATATGTCATGGGACTAAATATAGATTGAATCGCTCCTGGGATGCTAAATAGAATCAAGTGCATAACATGTACCCTAAATCAAAGAAGAACGCATCGTCCTTTTTGAAGCCATCTGCATCGCCATTTCCTCGTTGACAATGATTTAACACAGAAAATTGACATTTTTTTAGATCTCATTTTCATTTCTTTTAGAAATATCTTTTACAAACCGTATTTTATGCTTTATGGTGAAGTTTACGCTGGTGAAATTGATACCTGTGGAGACGAAGGTGATTTTATTTGCGTGTTCATCTTGAGATTTAACTTTTTGTAATGTTTCTCAGCTCCGTAGTTGATTTGAAATTTAGCATGGAGATCGTTCAGAAGGGGAGTTACGTTCGAAGGTGACAGCACTAATCATGACCATATGGATGGGTGTTGTTGTAGTAGACGTGTTGTGGTAGTGGAATAGTGAGGCATGATTGACAGTGTTCCTAAAACCGTCTTTTCCTCTATTTTTGTTGGTCGCCTCTCCGTTAAGATAAACGTTGTTTAATTTGATTTAAGAAGAATGGCCGATTTCGAAGAACCATTATAATATGCTATAATTCGGACTAAATACAGCTATATCAGCTGAAGTAAATACCGTAAGAATCAACATTTTTGCCAACGAGGTACAAGATGATTTACTTGGATACATCGTTTCTTTCCCTCGCAATCGTCGTCCATAGTCGTGGTTTTATTTGATCATGGTGGTGCGTGCTAGCCTCATACTGTGATCTGTAGAACAACAGCAGATGCGGGTTCAGTTGATTAACTTTATTAACGAACACGTCCGCTCAAGGTGTTGGTGGCCGCACTAGAGGGCGTTTACATTCTCGCGGAGTCCACTCCACGGTTCTTTTCGTCCACCTATCATCTGTTCTTATCATTATGTGACCGGCCCATCTACGTTTCGTTATCGATGTATATTCTCCTGGTTCTCGAAGATGTGATAAATTTCGAAGATCAGAGCGCATTCCAGCTAGATACTGAGAGTGCCGGTTTTATTTCAGAAGTCATGCTCTGTGAGTAGTGCGAAGTATTCTTGACATGGTCGAATTATCAGCTCCCGTCTCTGTATCATAGCAGTGCACTGGGAGGACCGTTGTTGATTCGGTTTCCTTTTTCCCTTTTGAAGGTAGGTTGTCAAAGGCTTTGCAAGAAGTACATGCAACTTATCGCTTCCAGCTCTAAGGAAGTCCGCGGAAATATTATCCATTCCTGGAACTTTGCCTTTTTTCATGCTTTCTGTCGCAGCTCGGGCCTCCGTTGGAAGAATTCCAGCTGGTTTTCATCCAGCGGGGATATTAGAGTCCAGGACGAGGATTTTGAAACGGAGAAGGTTGGTGTAGAACGTTTCTGTTAATAATTCCATATCATAGCGGGAACTTTTAATGATCCCACCTTCGTTAATAAGGGCTGACAGCGGAACATTACAATCACACATGTCCCGACAACACTTTTTCGGACTGCTTTTCTCTGCTGCTTCCAGTAATTTCTTCTGCTTGAACCGATGCAGATTTTCTTGCAAAGCTCTTCTGCAGCTGGCACTTATTACAATCTGTGCTAAACGTTTTACAGTAGGATCAAGCTTCAGTTTCCTCTTCTTTACGAGCAACTCCTTAGTAGTAATAGAGATGTAGTCCAGCCTTCTTGCTTGAGGAACTGAGGCGATTAGGCACAGCTTTTCAGTCCTTCGACAAAGAACTCGTAGTTTTCGGTCGGGTCTTCTTTAATCTGCCAGTCACGTTTGGATAGGACTTCGTTCAGAATGTTCTCGCCGTATGCAGCTAGACTTTTTCCTCGTGGTCGTAGAAGAGAATTCTTTTCCAGATTACGGCTGAATCGAGTTTTTGCGCGAAGAAGGCGGTGATCGGTACCAGTACGGAATGACGGGACTACTGCTTTGGCAAGTAGGCACCATCTTCTGTTTGTTAGAATGTGGTCGGTGTCCGCACGAGTTATGTCGTTAGGATACTCCCATGTCCAGCTGCAACTTTCTTTCTCCTGAAAATACGGGTCTCTATGGAAAAGACGTTTTGCAGACAGGAGTCCTGCGAGACAGTTCCCATTCTAATTTCTTTCTCCTAATGCAAAATTTCCGATCCTGTATTCGCCTCTCGTTGGTCTTTCCTATTTTGGCGTTGATATCTCCGACAACAAATTTATGATGTGCTTTATCATTGCGGATAATTTCTTCCAACTGATAGCAGAACGCATTTAATTTGTACTCATTAGCTGCATCGATCGGTGAGTAACAATTGATGATAGTGATCTTCTTATGACGCACCAGTTGAAGAAGGAGGGCGGCTATGCTAGCGAAAGGATCTCGTATGAGTCGAAGAGATGGACAATGAACTGGTGGACAACAAAGCCTACGTTGCTGAGATTTCGTAACGCAACATTTTCTCCACGGATCACTAGGGGCTCGTTGTTTAGTTGGCGTATGCCGGTCTTCTTGAATTTTGTTTCTTTTAATGCGACCACATGAAATTCAATGCGATCAGTGACTACAAGAAGGACTTGAAGATCGACGTCTGTGGAGAGTGTTCTGGCACTATACATGCAGAGTAAGAAATAACCTCTATGGCGAGTCGTGCGTGTGTTCGTCAGATCCAGTTTCAATGACGTCCTGTGTAACTCGAGATTCTGTGGCCTCTCGCTGGTCGTCTCACCACCCGACGTCATAGATGGGAGCACTTAATGTGCGGGGTACTGAGGCTGGCCTATTACCGGTTATGCAATTTAATCCTCCCTGGAGTCCTAACTCAACCTTGGAAGGCGTTTCCAGGTCTTCACCACGAGGTGAATCCGAGGCAGATATGATTTCGGCGACGAATCCTTCGCTCGGTCTCAAGCTCGGGTAATTAAACCTCGGGTATTCAGCAAGTTTATTTATTTGATGGTATTAAAATTCTAGACTTCTGGAGCCCACAAGTCTTTTGAGAGTAGGCAAATCAGCAACCTATTTGCTAATAATTTTCTCAGCAAGGACGTGATAATTATTAATTGTAATTGAATGAGAATGTGATGGTTACTTGGCGAGAGGCTAATGGACTATGTATATGAGGCGGACTTTTATAGGTTCCATTCTAGGGAATCACTGTAGATGAGGCAGAGTTTTATAACACAATTTCTTTAACATCTTAAAGCTGTATTATTCGGCTTAGTTTATTCCATTTTCATGCATTAATATTGCGTTCTTGTTGATGACTGTGGGAATTAAGGATTTAAATTCTGGGTGAATTTTTCTAAAACTGGGTAATTTTCTTACACATGAAAGCATAGAACACACTTTACACATGCAGTGATGGACACTTATTTAGGAAGCCTTCTGGCTTTTTCATTTCTACATCTCTTTCAAATGATGAACAATTGTTGATTTATTATTTCGTTATTCTCGAGCTATTTCTCCACTTCTCCAGTTGTTTTTCGAGGGTCGCCTTCGATGAACGCCTTCAGTTGTTCGTTGTTAATCTCTCATAAATACTCACGTCCTTCTTCGTCACTAAGTGTTTCTAGCTGTGTTAGGAAAGTTTTCAGACGTGTTACACTATCTGCTTTCGGAAGTCCTTCGTTGGCTTTTTTACACTTTGTTTGCATTTCGTTCTGCTTTTGCAGCAGTATGCCGAAATCAGAACCTATGAAGTTAAAGGACGCAAATTTCTTCCCTTGAGAGAATCATTTCCGCAAGCCGTAAATGATTGCAAGATAATGAAAAATTCCTATACGCCCAATAATTGCGTTATAAACAAGCTATTAGTCTCGCAACAGATCGATAATCTAGGCAACGGACATTTGTTAGGAAATGTTGTTGTATGGTCTTTAGTAAAACCGAATTGGGCAGGGGAATAAGGAAAAATAACAGCCGACGACCAATCATCATGTAGGGAAAGGCGATCTTGGTCATTTGTCAGTTATTAACCACATGCCGTATTAGTATGGTGAAACCTGGAAAAACAATAGTTGTGACTTTGCTCCCTTGAATCAAATTTCAGGAACGAATTGTGTTCCCGGAGGATGGATACCACCAGTTTTGATGACGATTTTTCTGTTAGTCGCTAACATCCTTCTTATCAATATGCTTATTGCTATTTTTAAGTGAGTTTCTTTTTGTTGACTTTATGTAATTACAAATACGATATATTATGAGTGAGCAAATACACGAACGATTCTTAACCTTTTATTTGCTACCCGCCATAATTTTTCACGGCAGGGTATGATGTGAAATACAACCATAACAATTCTGAGATACTGGAAAAGCCTAATGAGAAAAACGGAGAGCAAGAGCCTCAGTGTTACATTATGTAACACGCGAGACCTCGGAAACGNCCCCGCCATAATTTTTCACGGCAGGGTATGATGTGAAATACAACCATAACAATTCTGAGATACTGGAAAAGCCTAATGAGAAAAACGGAGAGCAAGAGCCTCAGTGTTACATTATGTAACACGCGAGACCTCGGAAACGGTAATCCTAGTTCGATCTGACCCGGCGACCAAGTTTTCCGAATATCTCAGCAACGGATTATAAATTCGTCGTTTTTTTCTCAGCAATCGCGAAGTTGTTAAACAGCATACGTTTACTTCCATACAATAGCACACAAGCAACACAACCGTAGTTGACGTTTTAGCAGAATCGCCTTCTTGAGAGCAGCTTTTTTCCTGTCTTCCACCGCGGAAAACGATTATCGTCAACCATGTGCGACTCTGAGCGGCTGTTCTTCCTTCACGATTGCTGAGAAACGACGAATTTATAGTCCAACGCCGAGGTTAATAGAAAGTCGATCCTGGGACCTACCTGCAACGTCGTTATTGTATTTTACATAATAGTGTGCCGCGAAAAATTATAGCAGACAGTAAATAAAAGGTTAACATTATGATTTCGACTACAGCGTCAGCTTAACTGCGTTCAATGCCTATTTATGCTCACCAGATCAATCCCGCTGATTGATGATTACTGTTGGCAGCGTTTGGTAGAAAACTATCTGAGGGAAACGTAAAGCCTGAAATAGCTGAGAGACAGGCGAAACGAAAGACCCGCATAGTGTGGTGGTGAACGCGTTACTCCCCGGAAAGGACAATAGCGCGTTCGTTCCCCACCATAGACACCTGCGGTCCAGAGTTTTGCAAATATCTCAGCAAGGTTGTGGTTGTATTTCTGCTGCGAAATTATAGTAGGCAGAAAATAAAAAGGTATAATAAAGCAAGAACCTCAGTCGTGCAGTGATCTTGTGTAACGCTTGATCCTTCGGAAAGTATAATCATGATTCGGTCTGCCCTGGGGTCGAAATTTTGCGAATACCTCAGCATTATTGTGGTTGTGCATGAGGGATTATTTTTATCGGAAATGTGGGCCTGAAATAGAACACCAGGTATGGGCTTTAATTGCCACTGTGAGTCCGCCATATGTACATTTTTTTATCTCTTAAAGTATCTGCATATGCATGCATATAAATATATATATATATATATATATATATAATATGGATGTCTAAACGTTGAGTTGCTGCGTTTATTTTAGTAACATCTTTAACGAAACCAACATTCGATCACATGAAGTGTGGCTGTTCCAACGTTACGGGCAGGTTCGTTGCCACTAACGATTTTTCTTAAACACATTAGGTTTGATCATATCTACGTACATACTTACTTGGATACATGTATGGTTCATCTTCACGAGCAATGCGGAGCTCAACACATTTTCCATTCGTGTTTCCCTCGTGCAGTCGTCGCTCATGATGGTCGTCTGCTTCCAAGTGAGGACGTTCAAAGGACGCAATCCGTGATCCTTGCGTGGAATTCGTCACGCAAATGCAGTTGTTTGACGAGAGCCGTCATATCGTATGATCGCGTGAAGTGATCGTCCAAGTGGAAGCTTTCATGCTTATGCAGTCCACTTCTGCCGCTTGTTACTCCTCTGTAGGATAACATGCTGCTGCATGTGGCAGTGTTGGAGGTGGAAAAAATTCCATAAGCAACAAAACAGCTCTTCATTACAGTGAAGACGTTAATTGCTGGGGATACGTGGTTTACAGATTTAGTTTTAAATTTGACATTTTTTGTCGTCTGTGTTTTTAACTTGAGGAAAATATTGATCGGATTTCCTCTGTAGGTGAAAAAATATCAACGTAAGTCACAATATGAGCTGTATGTATATTAATTATTATAAAAGTGAAAACGGAAATGTGTAAAGCAATTCGCAAGACACGAGGAACGAGTTTGATGACTTATGACTCAACAACGATGTAGGCAGTGAAGAAATACCCGCAATGAACCCTGGGACAACTTTAGAATGCGGAAGAAATCAGATACAATTCAGTTTACTCTCGCGAGTAAATTTTCCATCGAAACTTTTCTGAAGGTGAGGTAAAGCGAAGACCACAACTCATGTATCTAGTGGACAGAGCACCACTTAAGCTCTGAAACACCAGATACATTCGAAAACTTACTTGGGGAAAATGACCTGCGTCACTTTTACTCTCGCCAGTTCTAGGTCGAATCAAGTGAGAACCCAATAAGGTCTCTATCTAACTTCAGCGCCAATACTATCCCAATGCCCTGCGTTCTCTCAGCTTTTCAAGAGATTCGTGAAGGATCCTCTGTTCTCCACTTTTGGGGTGGTTGTACTAACGGATAATCCCCGAAGCTTTCCTGAATGATAGCTTTACATGCAACTGCGCTTCTGAGTGATGTTGGAGCTCTTTGGGTCGGTGATTATAGTGGAGTGTGAACCGTTGATATACATTGTATTTTAACACACAGTCATACCTCCTAGCCTAGGCAGCAAATCGTTTTGCAGATATTGGTTTATTTAAAGTTTCGCTTTAAAACGAAGAATATTCGTTGAATGGCATTTAATGTTAAGGTGATGGAATATAACGACACACCTCTGCTTCCACCGCCATTCACCATTCTGGCCTACATTGGTCGACTTTTCTGCTTCTGCAAGGTTCATTCTATTGTGTCATGTTCCTCCTGTCAAACGCTCCTGATTCTTTTCATAGAGTGTTTACCGAACACATTATAGTTTTATTGTCTTTTAATGCACGCTGTTGGGTTTTATCACCTATGTCACCTATAATCCCTTTGCTAATCGACTCAAACAAGTACAGATGCATCCCCATTCGTCTCTATATGACCACCACCTGTTCAGCGGGCTTCTTTCTTTCAAGTGACACGACAGGCTTCACCCTATTGGTATGATTCTCCTCCCTACATTTAATAGATGACCTTGATGAGATGAACTTTCTTGTACATCGTTACGGAGAACCCAGAGATGCTTCCGGTCACAACAAGATGGTAAACCTTTTGTCGACTGCTTTACTAGGTACTAATAAGGAATAATGTTGACTGTGGCTTGAAATGTGGTGTGCGGTTATTTTACATTATGTCATTGACTTAAACAGTAAATTATACTTTTTAAGAAGAAACCACTGAGCAATGGAAAAGAGCGAGATGATGTTGTTACAAACTGCTCAACAAGTAGGTGGTGTTCATTTATACATTGTTACTTATTGGAGGCGTCACGAATTATAGGTGACGCGACGCACTTCTCTAGTCTATTCATCTTTTTTAAAATACTTTCTCGATTTCAATTTGAAGAAACAGGCTTGACTGGAACTTTTTCCGTAGTTGTGAGAAAGTGAGTCATGTGTGATCCATGTTGCACTAAACGGGGTATAATAATGAAAAAGTAAACAAAGAAGCACCTTGTCCGTTAAGATAACGCGATTTATACAGTATGCCAGAACCTTCAGGTGTTTGGATGAATTTCCATTCATTTTTAGAGCTTCATCTAAGTGCCGAAGAATTGCGAGAATTGCACGACTTTGAAGAGGATTGCATGGATGAGTTGACTAGGAGGAAGCTTCGGAATGATAAAGGCAATTCTGCCGACGTCTGGATAAATTCATTAGAACTGTACGTCACTACTGTAAAACGAAGACTTTTCTGAACACAGGATATTTTTTACATGATTATAAATTATATTTGCGAACTAGATCTGGAGTTGGATAAGTTACGGAATCAGGACGAACACTAGCAGATGTCTTCATATCTTTTGAATCCAAACTTAAGGCTACCTTCTAATGGATTTTTCGTGCCTTCAGTAATTATTTGCCTTCTCTAACACCAACGGGTTTTATGCCCTAGGAACCACTAAGAAACAGTGAGCTGACCCAATCGTCGTTGACATTTTCTCTTTAAATTACGTATTGCTGGAGTTAGTTAACGTCTCCATCAGGGTGGATGATAATTTTATAGGAATTCGTGAGGGTAAGCCGCATGTAGTTCATCATAATCATTTACTTCTTTTTGTTGTTTTCTATAGAATACAGAGGCAGCACTAAGGCCCAGAAGACAATTAGCACTAATTGTCAATGCTTCCGATCTGAGTCTACCGCCACTTCTTTTTTTTCCAGTAATGGTAATGACAGAGTGTCAACTATATTTGTGATTTGACGGAAAGCTGATGTATTAAACCCTTTAACTATAGACGTTCTGATTTTTTTCAATGAAACATAGCGTCGTACGGTGGAAATTAGATCAATAACAAATTGCCCGGATGGAAAATGTTGAGTTATAGGATTGAATTGTGTTCGCAGAGGGTGAACGAAGTGCTGCAAGAGAATTGCTCGCTGAAGAGCCGTCTATGCGATATGGAGGGTCGGTTGGATCTGATAATTAAGAAACAAATGGAGTTCATGGATATCCTGACAGAGAACAGAAAGGTAAGTGCTCTTCTCACTGATAACGGTAGCTTCTGGGATATCCCGGAATGGCTTAAGCTTTTGGAGTAGTCAAGACAAATTTCGCTTGATTTATGTTAATTCTGTTAATAGCTATAATGCTGAGATATTTGCAAAACTCAGGACCGCAGGTGTCTGCAGTGGGGACGAACGCGCTATTGTCCTTTCCGGGGAGTAACGCGTTCACCACCACATCATGCGGGTCCTTCGTTTCGCCTGTCTCTCAGTTCAACTGCCTCTGTTAATAGCGTGAACTTTGTAACCAGAATGATAATCAGTTACTGTTAGAGTAATTGTTTTTTCTAAAGTAGTATTATTCCTACGTAGTCGCTTTTTATTTGCTGCCTATTATTTTTTTATAGCAAGACGTGATGTGTAATACCACCACAATGATGACTTGCAAAACTCCGAACTGTTGAAGTCTGCGGCAGGGAGCGAACCCGCTATTACCCTTTCGAGGGCTATGAAACCCGGCTGAGAGAAAAGCGAAATGCTGCGGTGATGAACACGTTGGTGTGGTGGTGAAAACGTTAACCCTCTGAAAGTGTAATATAGGGTTCGATCTCCACCGAAGACAAGACATTTGCAAATATCTCAGTGCCTTTATGGTTGCATTTCATATTATACCCTACCATGAAAAAAATGGGCGGCAGATTGCTGATATTTCCTATAGGTCAAAAAACGGCTAAGAGAAAGGAAAAGCGAAGGACCTGCACGGTGTGGTGGTGAACATGTTAGACCCACAAAGGGTACCGGCATGCTCATTCCCCACCGCAGACAGTTATGGACCAGCGTTTTGCAAAGATTTCAGCATCATTAACATTATTATTTCTGCTACTACTATACGAATCCCTATCGTTAAGAATCTAAATATTCTTTGCAAGTCATCATCCATCACGAGTACGGTGCTTGTTCGATCCCTCACCGGACTCACCAACCCTTCCATCCCTCCGCGGTCGGGAAATGGGAACCGGATTTGCCCGGGAAAAAACCATTCTCTGGAGTCTAAGTGGAAACTCTCCATTCCAGCTATCTCAGGGCTGCACTGAGAATTGATTCGACCAGCATTCTACGACATTCAGGACTAAATAAAAATCCCTCTAAAAATGAAAATGAAAAATAAAAAAAACGAAATATAAAAGAAGGAACGGCTGAAATCACTCGTAAATTTGGAAGATCTTAGTGGGTGATGGATGCGTGGAAGCGAATCACATATGAGAAGTGCTGGGTTTTGCGCAGTAGATGTGAAAGCGGGTCATGTGGATTTAGGAGTGCTTTCTGTCTCTACTGCTCTGGAATTGACTCATCCTATACGTATGTATGTAAAAATATCCATACTTGCATTTCTGTGTGCACTCGCTAGAGCGCATTTTATCACAATCGCCGATTCGAGCATAAGTCTGGAACTAGGTATCTAGGAAGTACATGGAAGCGGGTTCAGAGAAGTCTCAAAGAAACAAACCTCATGTTCGAAGGACTATATCAAGCCGCCAATCTTCAACAGCAGATGCCAGTGCGCAACGGTATTTTTTGCCAACACTAAAGAAGGATCCATTCTCGTGACACTGGTTTAGCTTCTATTACAGCAACGTTGAGTATCGTATTTACGCAGGTAGAGACCTTCTGCGCTGACAGAATTAAGAAAAGAAATTTAAGAAGACTAAGCTAAATTTCATCGGGAAAGACACGACGGAAAAAAATCATGCAACAAATATTTCTTTGATAAACGAGAAGAACTGTTCCCTCAATAGCAAAGAAGATGATGGCGCCGGTGTTCTCCTCAACTCAACACGTTAAACACCGACACCAATGAGCAGTTACTCACTCGAAACAGAGATTTGTGCTTGGAAATAAATTAACGTGTGGCAAAGACGACGAATCTCTCAGTAATGAGTAGCATAAAGGAACACACCAGTTCACGGTAATTTGACTGTCTTACTTAATCGATGTTGTTATTGCATCCCAGAGTTTTAACGAAAACCGGGCTTTTACTTCTGAAAGATGAGAAAGCCGCAAGATACAGGAAACAGTTCCCAAAACAAGCATACTTCAAGGGCTTGTTCATTTTTCGGCTGGTTTCTACTCTTACTGGAAGCATCGGCAATAGACACAGCCGCCTATCCATTAGCTCCATAAAAGTGCTAAAAAAAACCCGCGAGTTCAAAATTCACCTAGGAACAGCCATAGGATCATATTGTTACACAAAAACTGAGGTCTGCGCGACATTGGCATATAGAGTCCAATCTATCTGCTTCATTGGAGTCATCTTCAACAGGATTAGGAGAACAATGAATTGCATGGGGCAACCATGCAATAAAGTCATGGTTTCCTGGAAAATTCACTCCGATCCTCTTTCTGAATAGCATCCACACAGTTACCAAAACACGAGACTACGAGATATCATTATAGCCCACTTTTTTTTAACATAAACGATGTCTCAGATGGAAGACAAATGGTTATAATAGCCCTAAGCAAAAGGTTAGTCCTTGGTGTGCTGAAGTTCAGCAAATTCGCTACAAGAATTTAGCTACTCTGTAACGACTTTATCGTCAACGTAAAGAGGGAGGTGAAAGAGGGTGACACCATCTCGTCAAAGTCATTGCCATTCCCTCTTAAAAACTTTATAGCCGAATTTGAAATGGGATAACCTGAAAATGAGACTTGATAGCTGGCAAGCACACTATATCCCTTGATAGGATCACTCAAATAACACCAGATATTGTCAGACGAAACGAATGCAAACTGATGCCATGAAAAAGATTGGTCCTCGGCTAAAACTAGGAAAAGGTATTCACGGAAAATGGATTTCTTGATTATGCCTTCATCCAAGTTAAACGAAACGGACATCTCTCATTGCTCCAGCTCTATGTAACCAAGGCGGCATCGCTAACATTACGAACGACTGAAATCGAGGACTGAGCAGTGGTGCGAGAATTTTGTACGATTAACAAGGAGGTGGTAAGGAAGTCATTAGAACATAGAACACATGGCTCTGGGTCCACTTTTTGAGTTATCATGCTTCCTGCTTGTTAAGATGTGCATTATAATTATAAACGCCACTTAAACAGTATGAAAGATTACTTATTTCTATCGATCACGTTATTGAAAGGACGATGCTAGGAATGCCATGTCTTACGCAAATTAGCGAGTAAATCTGAAGCTCTAACATATTTCGACGATCAAGACTCGAGGACAGCGATGACAGAAATCGGGTAGGCAGGTAATTTGAGGCGTCCTAATATTAACGAGTAAATAAGCACCGTCACCATAAACGGCACTGTCTCCTGAGGATTTCAGAGAAACGCTAAAAGGATCACCGATAAGTTGATCGGAATTCTTTACGAAGATCTTGAATAAAAAATATGGTACTCTTCCAGTTCCTTGGAGCGCAGAACCAATTTAATACCTTTGGCATCCGAAAGAGATAGAAGGGCCGGTGCTACAGAGTCGTGCATCTACTTACTGTTTCATTTTTTGTCTCTTAGTCGTGCTTGCTATTGTTCTTTAAGGAATTAGAAGTGAATGCGAGTGAAAGAAGTACCGGTGGGAGGGGGTAGGTAAGGTCAAAATGTAAAAAGTAGGTTGTAAAAGGAAATACATTTCTTGCTCAGTTATACAATAATAAATCTTGTCAGTTTTCTTTTACAGCCGTCAAAGTCCAGTTCTTTCTCTACACAGTCTTTACCCGAGGCCGACAGCAATAACAGTAGGTTAGGTCTACTTCAAAATTTTCATAACTATTCTTCCTTAATTCCTATCATTCAATTATTTTTAACATTAGTCATTATCACTATTTTCATCTATATAAGATGTAGTTATGTTACAAAAAAATACAGCCACAAGGATGCTGAGATATGAGAAAAACTCATGACCTCAACTGGGCTTCGAACCCGCGACTATCTTTTTCAGGAAGTCACGAGTTATCCGTGCACCAATAAAGGTGTTCACTTTGTCTGTCTCACAGCAGGTTTTTTCATTACTCTAACAGTGCTATCGGGGACGGATAGCACAGTGGTAGTGATGCGTAGTGATGCCTATAATCACGCGCACCGTTCATGTTCGAGTACTCCCTGGATTCCTAAGATGTCGTTCTAGGAAGTTTCGGTGTGAATTCGATGGACAAATTCTGTCACAAATAAGTCTGGTACTAATTTCATGACAACGGAGGTATGACAGACATAGTTGGCCAAGTGCTGCTTCGAACCGGCGCCTGGGTAGGCCGTCCGCGTAATGAACCAGATCACTGTCACAGCGCTAGCTGCTCCCTTCATAAGAAAATAAGGACATCTGCAATTTATAGGTGATAACTACACTAAGTGCACTTCGTTTTGATGATGCAACCAATAACCCTATTCCAAACCTCTTGTTTCTGTAAAATTCCTTTTAAGTGCTCTGTATTAACAAAATATGATGTCTATGACTCTTTGTCTATTGCTGTGGATAATGTACAGCTGTCATTTAGGCAAAAAAGAAACTAACTTTTATTTTAGGCCTAACAGGTCTGTAAAAGTAACTGTTACTGCGCCGGATTTGTGCCTTTTTACCGACCAAATCCAACCCAGTTCCCTAAAGGAGAAAGCAAAGACACCGTCACCACTTCTTAGTCATCTAAGAATGGATCACACGCTTCGAAAATATGATGAGGTCAGTCAGCAATGTCCCGATAATGGATTAGTATTGAATTTTTTAATTATTCTTTTTAAACAGAAGTAGTTTATTGGCCTTCTTCACCAATTAGTTATATTGTTTTACTCAACAACATAACGACCACATTCATTTTCTAGCTTTGGATAGTCTCACTCTCTATTTGTGCAACTGCAGTTTTAAATCTGCAGACATTAGACTTATTTGAGAAGATACAAAACCTTAAAAAAAGCAGATCAATGAGTTGGGGTTTTATCGTTCTCAATCGGCCCATCCATCATTTTGCCCAGCTCAGTAAGGTTGATGGTTTCATTCACCTGGAGTAGGAGAAAATAAGAAATCCGCAACCGCACGGACACCTGCGTCCAACGTTACTCTTTACCTTGTTTATTGCTTTTTTTCTTGAAAGATTCATGTGTAGAACGTTATTGGATTCCATCAAAAGGCAATTTTCTTTTTCACAGGCTCGCTACCAGCCAGCATCGATCGGGAGGCGACGACGCTTGAACTCTTTATCGCTTTCTATCTCACAAGATATGAAAGATATGGAAAGGTACTATAAAATGATCTTTTACTTGCAACTACATGTTTTGAGAAAGCTGGTAGTTCTTAGTTATACATGTTTTTAGATCTCCGAATGCAAATGAAATCGTCACATCTAATGACGACACTTCGACCGTTGTCGTGCACGGACGAGAGGAGTCATAGTTGTTACGTTTCTCTTAGCGAAATAGTGAGATCTTTACTTGCAAATCGAACCCTATCCTTTAACCTGATTCGCTTCTGTTAGCCGAAATTTGATGTTGGTTACCTGTTAGTCCAGTAGTTACCGGCCTTGTTGACTATCCGCTAGGTCTGGACTGTCCTAATTCCATAGAAGACGGTAATTCTGTTTGCACCATTTCTTCTATGCTGTTAGTTTCAATTCCAAGGTTTGATGTCTGTTTCAGGCTACAGATGAAAATGATCATATCGACGGCGGCAATCACTATCGACAACGATGGCGATCGCAAGGCGACTTGTTCCCTGTTAAATGTAAGAGCTTCTAAGAATGATCGGATAAAAGCCGTTTGTTGTTCTCCTATTTTTCCTTTTCACAGCGGCCTTTATTCATGACATAGACTAAGGTGTGGTCAATAGGAAGAGTCTATACTTATTGATCGAATTGTGAAAAAATCAATATCTGTTCTAATGCGATCTCGTCAATGGGCGTCTGTGTGACGTTCGTCATAGAGCTTATTTATACCGGAAATTCTTTCAGCTTCCCCATTCATCTACGTCCTCACGCATCAGTTCCGTCTGTTTTTGAAGTGTTATTTTCTCATTTCCTTTGGTATCTCTTGATCTGATACGATTTAGAGGACTTGCACTGAAGCAGGCCGTCATATCCGACAACTGACATTTACGACTCAAATTTCGGCTGTTTGTTTTCGTTTCCCTTATTTTCACTTGTTTACACTGTGATCGAAGAAAATGGTATACAGCAATACGCGTCTACTTCTTTTGTTACTAATTTCGAAAAAGCTTTTTTTGTAACGAATAAAGCTTGTCATTGATGAAAGAAACGAAACAGCAATTTTATGAAGCTGCTGATTCTGGATTCTAGGCGGGGCTGAAATGCAGAACAAATACTCTACAGCATAGTCGAGCATAAGATAGAATCGATTAGGTAGATCAAAATCGTAAAGATCACAAGCGATTGTCCAAAGCGTATTTACACCTCATGTTTAATCCAACTCACCAGCCATCAATTCCGAAAGCTCTGGAAGAAAGATCACTCCTACAACGATGCTGAGATATTCGCCAAACCTCAGCTCCACTCCAGATTCGAATCAGCGAGTACGCTTCACCTGGGGTCGCGTGTTACCCACCGCGCCACTGAGGACACCGATCTGCATTACTATTAGTCATTTGGATGGGGATTATTTGGAGAGCGGAAACCGGCATTCAAACCAGTTAAGCTGAGGCTGAAGTCGAAATCACAATGTATTACTTTTATCTGCTGCTTATTATTTTTTTCACGGCAGAGTATTCTGTGAAATACAGCCATAATGATCTTGGGATATTTGCAAAAGTTTCACCCAATGCAGAGTCGAGACCGAGATTATCCTTTCCAGGTGCTCACATGTTACCCATTGCTCCACCAAGGCCGTCGTTCTGCATTACTCCCAGCCTGTCATTTCGATGATAAAAAACTTTTTTGATCGTGTTGCTTGCACCGTATCGACAACAGCTATTGCTTTGCATCCCGCATAACCATTTGTGGAATCCCTATATTAACTGGCTACATTATCAACAGGTTCCGTAAAGAAAAGACGGTTGTTGCACAACTATAATTCCTCTTTTAACTTCATCATTTGGTGATATTCCTTCACAGTGTCGATTCTGCGTTTTTTTTTCTTGACTGCAACTAATGGAGAATAGAGTATTTTAAGCTGATAGGAATGACCATGGAAGAATACAAACTGATTTCTGGTTGTGATGGTAAATCAGTGTAATCAGTTGTAATCACTCGATGCCTCTGGTCACCGTCACCGATTATAACACCTAGTGAATTAAAAACATAACTAACCCTACACACCTTCGAATTCGATCTTTCCTGGGTCGTCTTCGTCGATTTCGTCTACGGCCTCTTCTAGTTGCTGATCAGTTAGATCGCCAGCGATCTCCTATCTCCTTCAAGAGGGCCATCAATGTCGCTCGTGAAATGTCTCTAAAAAGTAGATTTGTTGTTCATTTTTGGTGGTGGAAAGGCTATATTCACCGTGAGGAAAGTGTAATTTAAAAAAAAACGGCAAATAAATGTTCACTACAAAATAAATATTCACTTCCGATCACTGCGCTGCTCGAGCCCTAGATCTTGAAGTATCGCCTTTTTACCAGGTTGGACTTTCTCATGTGACTCATATCAAATAAATATTTTATTTTTATAACTGACATGTACTCTCAGCAGAACCTTCGATCTCTCAAGGGAGCCTCAGTAGGGATGACTCAACCAAAAAGATATCACCTCATGTCCTGATATCACCTCGTATCACGTGTAGTCTTGAACCTCGAGTGGCTCGAGAGGGCGTCAGTAAATTTTCCACTTTTCCCTGTCGCGTGCAAGAGTGGCCCAATGGGTTCTGCTCGCTCTAGGGACTCGTCGAGCATCATATCTTTCTTCAAGGCTCCTTGTGAAGAACTCTGACCATGGGGTCGGTGGTCTTCCTGCAGTGCGTTTGACATCCCGAGGAATCCAGTCACTAACAGCTCTTGTCCATCGGTTGTCATTCATATGCATTACGTGTCCGGCCCACTTCATCTTATCTTCGACTGTTTGGCGTAGAGAACGGCATCCTTGATTTTTGATCGTTGACACAGGACAGAGTTTTGGATCCGTTCTCTTATTAGCGTGAAACGGGATACTCCTAGCATCGTCCTTTTGACTGCGCCTTCGATAACGCTGAGTGGTCTTCCATCCTGCTTACGCAGCGACCAGGTTTCTACCGCATACGTTAGGAAAGGAAGTACCGTTGAGTTGAAAAGATGGGCACGGAGCCGAGCGTTCTTCGTTCTCCTCATTACATGCACGGTGCTCTTAAAAGCTCCCCAAGCCGTTCGTTTCCATCTGCTCACCTTTGGAGCTAAGTCGTTCAACATGTTGATTTCCTCGCCAAGATAGACCTAACTGGAGCATTCGGAGATATTCGTTCCGTTGAGCGTGAATAGCTCATACGAAACCATTTTTCCCCATGAACATCGTTTTTGTGAGAGTTATTCGAACATCAGTTTTTCCACAGGTTTTATCATAGTCGGCAAGCACACTTTTTGTTTGGCTAATGTTTGGCGTTATAATGACGATGTCATCAGCAAAGCGAATATGGGGTAACTGCCGACCATCGATTTCCACTCCCATGTTATCCCGTTCCAATGCTCGCATGACATTCTGGAGGGTGGCGGTAAATAATTTTGGCGACATGGCATTGCCTTGCCTAAGTCCTGTTTTGATGTAAATATTAATATCGTTGTAGAATGGGGATATCTTGGTTATGAAATTTCTGCACAGCTCACAAAGAATCTTTATGTACTGAGTAGGGACTCCCTGACCGTCAAGGGCGTCCATGACTGCTTCTATCTCAGGAAACCCTGCTTGTTCACATGGCTGACCATGGTCCAATGTTGTGATATCGTGTATGTCACCATTCTTAAACAATAACACGGTCTTGTTGGTCTTCCACTGAGTAGGGACCTTACATTCAGACGTAACGTGTGAAGAGCCGAGCCAGTATGTTTACGAGGACTGGCGGAAGGTTCTTCAGGTGTTATGGTCTTATCCTGCCCGGACCTGGTGCTGTTCGATTTTTCACCGACGAAATGGCATGTCGGATTTAGGAAGAAAGCACCAGTAGTACAACATATCCATTCACCTTTAACTAATATGACGGAAGGTAGACGTGGCCTTCGAAGAGATTTGAATAGCGTTCGTTAACGATTTTGTCCATTGCCTTTCTGGACGTTGTAAGTGTTCTGTCTGGGTGTTGGAGGTGCAATAATCTTGGTCGTGTAATTGGCGAAACTTCGGTTGGCTTTGCGAAGGCTTTTCCTTGCCTCTGCAGCTTCGACCATTACTGCTGCTCTTCTTGCTTTAAGATCTTCTTTTATGGCCTGTCTACATTGTTTTGCAAGTTCAGACGTTAGTTCGCGGATGCATGCAGCTCGTGCGTTTCCACGCTGGCGTACAAACTCACGTGTTTTTGTGGAGACCGACGTCTGCTGCTGACTTTCGAATTCTCAGCTTTCATAGCGCTAACGTGAAGATATTGAGTGGGCCGATAGTATTCTTCGTCGATGTTATCGAAAGCGGCATCTTTCCAACAACAATGAATTGAACAATTACCAGTTTATGGTAGTTCTGGGACTTCGTTTTTTGAATTTGTTTTTTAAATTTAGCTGCTTTTTCTCCCTCCCGCGAGAAATAGAATCTTGCACGATGGGTGTAGAATGTTGGAACAACAGCGACATCAGCTAGGCAAAACCTTTATTTACTATGATGGTCTCCCTCATATGGCCACTGACCTCCCTCATATGAGGGATCCCGACAGCTGGTTAGTCGCGAGGCTAGGTGGCGTGTCCCCACGTGGCGGATAGGAGATTAATGGTGGACCAAAAGCGACCTCTGCCTCTCTGAGACGCAGATGGATCCAGGAGATAGTCTTCCTGTTTCTGCTGCACCGATTTGGCACATACTTTCTGTATTTACGAAGAGCACTCAGGCATGCATGTGTGGTACGTTCTAGGTTATGCGGATTGAATTCTACGAGTCAATTCTGCCAAAAGCGGCGGTCAAGTGACAGCGAAGTATATAAGAGACGGTAAGGAATCGCCTTCAACAAATAAGCTCCATGTCCACTCTGGGAGAGAATGGCAAGATACCCCTGAGTATATCCAGCCCCACGTTCAGAGCCAAGCAAACTATACGTGGGTACCAAAAAGCAAAAAACAGTAAAAGAAACGTGCCTCATTTCCTTACCCCGAAATATTCCCCAATTCGGCAACGTGGGGTAAGACTAGTAAGGAGAGGCTGCTAAAATCTCAGGGTCAATGGAAGCTGCCTGGATCACGAAGAGCTAAGATAACCATTTGTACCTACAATTCACGTGCACTTGCATCCGAGTTCTCGATAGAAGACTTGCTCATGCAAGCAAAAAAAATAAGGTACGACATCATTGGCCTGCCTGAGACCAGAAGACGCCACCCTTCCAACGCCATCTATGAGAGCGGAGAATAACTGTTCCTCGGTAGATGCGCAACTGGACGAGTCGGCGGCGTCGGCGTTCTCGTCAACACGAGTTTATCCATGAACATCGATTCATTCGAAGAACTTAAAACCCGAATCGGATGTTTACGGTTAAAAAGACGTGGATCAATTCCTGCTTTGACAGTCTTCGTCATTTACGCACCGACATCAAACTATAACGAAGAAGTCGAAGCGTTCTATATGGAATTGGAAAAGTTCTACAGGGAAGACCACACATTCTTCAAGGACATCACTGGCGATTTAAACGCTAAGATTAAACCAAGAGGAACGTCTGAAAAGCATCACACTGGGACCAACGTATTAGAATGAAACGAACAGGGTGAGTGCTTTTCTGAGTTTATCATAACGACCAAGACCATCCATGGTAACTCGCAATTCCAGAAGCCCCAGCCTCAAGGCTGGACGTTGGAGTCCTCCACTGGAGAGTGCCATAACGAAATAGACCACATCATAATAAATAGGAGGTTTTGCCTAACCGATGTCACTGTTGTCCCAAAATTCTACACGGCATCAGACCGTCGTCTCCTTCGTACAAGATTCCATTTTTCGCAAAAAGGAGAAAAACCCGCTAAATTCAAAAAACCAAGTCGCAAAACCACTATAAATTGGGACTTATTCAATTCATTAGTAGGCTGTTGTGAAGATGCTGTTGTCGATAACATCGAGGAGGAATACCATTCGCCCATTTAACAACTTCACTTTAGTGCTATGAAAGCTCAGAGTTCGAAAGTCACCAAGAGACGTTTGTCTCCACAAACGCTTGTGCTGATGCAACACCATTGAATCGCACGAGCTGCAGGCAATAGCGAACTAACGTCGGAACATGCAAAACGATGCAGACAGGAGATTAAAAAAAAAAGATCTTAAAGAAAAAAGAGCAGCAGTAATGGCCGAAGCTGCAGAGGCTGGAAAAAGCATTCGCAAAGCCCACCGAAGCTTCGCCAATTACATGACCAAAATGATTGCTCTCCGGCTCCCAGACGGAACAGTTGCAGCGTCCAGAAAGGCAATGGAGAAAATCATTCACGAATACTACTCAGATCTTTTCGATAGTCACGTCGACCTTCCGTCATATGAGGTAAAGGAGGATGGATAAGTTGTACCACCGGTTCTCCCTTCCGAAATCCGACATGCCATTTCGTCGGTGAAAAATCGAACAGCACGAGGTCCGGACAGGATAAGACCATAACACCTGAAGAACTTTCCGCCGGCCCTCGTAAGCATACTGGCTCGGCTCTTCACACGTTACGTCTGAATGTAAGGTTCCTACTCAGTGGAAGACCAACAAGACCGTGTTATTGTTCAAGAAGGGTGACCTGCACGATATCAGCAACTATCTCCCAATCTGCTTACTGTATGTCGTCTACAAACTTTTCACTCGAGTTATCCTAAACAGGATTGACAAAACATTGGACGAAGGAGAGTTATGTGAGCAAGCAAGGTTTCGAAAAGAATTTAGTACGATGGATCCACACGGTAACACGGCTCATTGAAGTAACGCGAGAGTGCAAAAGACCGCTTTGTCTCACTTTAATCGATTTAAAGAAGGCCTTTAGCTCTATTGAGATAGAAGCAGTCATGGAAGCCCTTGATAGTCAAGGAGTGCCTACTCTGTACACAAAGATTCTTTCGTGAGCTGTACAAAAATTTCACATACAAGATATCACCATTCTACAACGATATTAATATTGACATCAAAACAGGACTTAGGCAAGGCAATGCCATCTCGCCAAAATTATTTACCGCCTCCCTCCAGAACGTCATGGGAACATTGGAATGGGATAATATGGAACTGAAAATCGATGGTCGGCAGCTACACCAACTTCGCTTTGCTGATGACATCGTCTTTATAACACCAAACGTTAGCAAACGGAACGTATGCATGCCGACTTTCATAAAACTTGTGGAAAAATTGGTCTTCGACTAAATCTCACAAAATGATGTTTATGAAGAACGGAATGGTTTCTTATGTTCCATTCACGCTCGACAGAACGAATGTCTCCGAATGCTTTAGTTAGGTCTATATGGGCCGGTGAATCAACATGTTGAACGACTTAGCTCCAAAAGTGAGAAGTTGGAAACGAACGGCTTGGGAAGCTTTCAAGAGCACCGAGCATGTAATGAGGAAAACTAAGAACGCTCGACTCCGTGCCCATGTTTTCAACTCAACGGTACTTCCTGCCCTAATGTATACGTCAGAAGCCTGTTTGCGAACGCGCGATCGAAAGGACGATGCTAGGAGTATCCCCATGTCACGCAAGTAAGGGAAGGGATACGAAGCTGATACCTGTGTCAACGATCAATGACCACAGACGTAGTTTTGCACGCCAAACAGTCGAAGCTAAGGTAGGCCGGACACGCAATGCGTATGAACGGCAGCCGATGGACATGAGCAGTTAGTGACTGGTTTCCTCGCGATGTTAAATGCACTGCAGGAAGACCACCGACCCCATGGTCAGAGTTCTTCACAAGGAGCCTTGAAGAAAGATATGATGCTCGACGAGCCCCTAGAGCGAGCAGAATCCACTGGGCCACTCTTTTACGTGACAGGAAACCAGCTCGAGTCACTCGACAATCAACGGGACTAGAGATGACAGAGGATACAGATGGTCTATTTCGTTATGGCACTCTCCAGTGGAGGACTCGCCTTGAGGCTGGGGCTTCTGGAATTGCGACTTACCATGGGTGGTCTTGCTCGTCATGATAAACTCGAAAAGCCGCTCACCTGTTCGTTCTATTCTAATCCGTTGGTCCCAATGTGACGTTCTTGAGACGCTCTTTTTGATCCAATCTTGGCATTGAAAAATCCAACGACGACCTTGAAGAATGTATGGTTTACTCTGTAAAACTTCTCCAAGTCCATTTAGAATACTCCGACTTCTTCTTTGCCATAGTTCGATGTCGGTGCGTAAACGACGAAGATTGTCAAAGCCGGTAGCAATCCACATCTTTAAAATCGTAAACGTTCGATTCGTGCTATAAGCTATTCGAATGAATCGATGTTCATGGATAAACTCGTGTTGACGAGAACGCCGACGCCGCCGACTCCTCTACTGTCGCATGTTCCGAAGAACAGTTCTTCTCCGGTGTCTTAGACGGCGTCTTCTCGTCTGGATCAGTCCGGTAACGTCGTACCTTATCCATCTTGCTTGCATGAGCAAGTCTTCTATCGAGGACTCGGATACAGATGTACGTGCATTTTAGGTACAGATCTTAGTTTTTTGTAATCCAGGTAACTTCCATTGGCTCTGAGTTTTTAGCAGCCTCTCCGTACTCGTCCTACCCAACTCTGCGGATTTAGGGAGCTCTTTCAGGGTCAGGAAGATGAGGCCCGTTTCTTTTACTGCTTTTAGCATTTTTGATACCCACGTATAGCTGGCTGGGCTCTGAATGTGGAGGCTGGGTATACTCACGGGTAGCTTGCCAGGCTCTCCCAGAGTGCAGATGGAGCTTATTTGTTGGAGCCGACTCCTAACAGCCTCCCATACACTATCCAGTCGCGTGATTGCAGGCTTTTGGCCGAATTGACTAGTAAAATACAATCCACATAAGCGAGAACGCACCCACACACGCATTCAAGAATACGTCTAGCAAACACAGAAAGTGTGTGCCAAATCGGCGGAGCTAAAACAGGGAGTCCATCCACTGGATCCACCTGCGTCTCGGAAAAGCAAAGGTCGTTTTTGGTCCGCAATTAACCCCCTATTCGCCACCTGTGGACGCGCCACATAGCCTCGCGGCTAACCAGCTCTCCAGATCTCTCATATGAAGGGGATCCGTGGAACAAAGGATGAACAACTGTTTATCGTGCTTCAGTGGTCACTCAAAAGACCCACGCTGATGAGGAGGCGAAACTTTGAAGGAAACTTCCAGGTAATGATGTTTCGTTTTATTGTCACAGTGGTGCTCTTCTGCTTAGTGGCTTTCCTAGAAAATGTAACGATGCCTTAGGTAATTGTAAAGTTCTGAAAAAACGCAATCGCAGAAATACTCTCGTCTTCATTCGTGAGCAATGTCTACTGTAGTGTAACGAGTATTTTTCGACGGACCCTCATAAGTACAGTAACACTTCCAGTATAATGTTTATTTTTTTATTTTCTGCCTACTACAATTTTTACGGTAGGGTATTATGCGAAAAAAAAGACCGCAAGATACTGAGATCTTTGCAAATCTCGGGACCGCAGGTGTCTGTGGCGGAAAACGAAGACGGTATTACCCTTTTAGGGGTCTAAAGCGTACACCGCCATACCATGCGGGTCTTTTTTTTGCTTGTGTCTCAGCTAGTTCTTTTACTATATTGTATAGCATTTTGTAGCTTTCAGTATGGCTTTCAGTATATTTCAAATAGGTAGCTATTTCACGGAAACCGTCATGGAAGGTAGCTCCTTGGTGCAAAATATTTACACTATGCTGTGGTTTCTCCAAAGCTTTGTGTTGAAGCGAACAAGTTTAGATGCATAAAGACGTCCGTAAGAAACTTTTATACAAATAACGCTTTAGTATTTCTTGCTAATAAAATCGAAATCTCACAATGTCTGCCCGTTGAAATGCAAAGTTTCTTCACACCTCATCCTTGTCCCACCTACATGCTCATCTTGAAGTTGCTCGTAGAAGATAAAGGCTTCATATCTTTGTCGCTATATCAAGTGACTTATCGCCTTATCTGAAATTAATTTTTTGATTTGAGTAAGGTTGGTTTTCCATTGAACGTGAACCACGAGCGGTAGTCCCGATCTTAAAAAGAAACGGTGAGCCCTAGCCATATTTAATTGGTCAATATGCTAGATTTTTATTAAGACTAAAAGCTTTTCACCGAATAGGAATATGACTATGTATTGCATTTTCCCTCAGAAAAAGGTGGAAGTGGAATTGTGAAAAGTCAGCTATGGAATTTTAAGAACGCGCAATAACAACGTATTATGAAATCATTTAACTCAGCGCTAGCGTTCTGAATTGATGTCAGTCAACAGACACTTTCGAAAGAATCTCTCCCTACTGTCTGCTCCAAAACAGTGCCAACCACTGTGTAAACGGGAGACTTTAAGAGGCTTTAAGTTACACAGACTTCATAGATTCATAGAGCATAGATGGATAAGAGTAGGTGATTCGAACGTTCTGCTTCATTTCGGTCTTTTTTAGAACGCGAAACAACATAATGTGCACCAGTTACGTTCCGGTAGTATTGTTATACACAGTGGTAAGAGCATAAGATGATGCTATTTCTGTCAGTAAGTATGGCACTATGCTCAATTTTACAGGTCCTGCTGGACGCAAGAGGTTATATCTGTGATGGTGAGTACAGTGAGTACTTTCAAGATCTCGTAAAACGTCTCCACAACAAATTTCGCGAAACAAGACAGCTGCCACCGTTGGTAAGAGACTTATCACTAACTTTACTTTTTCAACCAAAAAGATTACTATCAGTTATTTCTTCCCAATTCTGCTTATGTTTTAAAGCAAAAACACCTCTATGATTGTCCATCACGAGTCTCTAATAGGTAGCCAACCGGTCACAGGGTTCAAATAGCTGATATGAGTGAAGAACTTTTCAGTTCCATACTTATTGCCTTAAATTTGGCCGTCTTCACTTGACGGATGTGAAAAACATCTAATCAGCAGCTCACTCAACAAAAGGAGTCCCAAAATCACACTTGTGGCTAGCTTCCTTGGATTGTTGCCGTCAGTAGTATTAGCCATTGTGAAAATGAACATGAGTGATCAATTAAGCTAGCGTATGGGAAGGCTCTCTGAATACAAGTGATCGGTACCGAAATAACATGCCCAGCACTTGAAACATTAATATGACTTGGGTTGTATCTTAAATAATGCAACAAGCCGCGCACAGAACGGAATCACTTAATGTTCCTAAACAAACAACATAATAGGTTACAAGTAAAAAGGCTTAGCACTAGTTTATTTAGAGCTACAGCTGCGAGCTGGAAAAACTGGCCATTGCAGCGGTTGTGGGATGCCAATCGATGCCTCCAGAGAGATCCGAGGCGGTCCATACCACCTTCCGAAAGTACTGATTTATATTTCATATAACCGTTGAAAGAAATCGAAGCGAAATTGAGTGATATACTTCAAGCCCTACAATTTCAGCTTCCTATATGACCAAGGACCTACTAATGTTACTCACACAAACATTGTGACTCGAATGATTTCATATTGGCATGACAGAAGTGAAGATCGTCCTAAGGTGAGGTTTGTTGAAAGAAACTTCGAGGGAAGGGAAACACTTTGCATTTTAATAGATGGAGCGATCGGATATCGAAAGTGTTGGCTGCGGAGCGGTCAAATGCCCAGAATCGAGTGGAATGGTCAATACCAGCGTGGCGTGCTTTTACGGCAATGTGTAAGCCGTCTTTTTTCTCAAAAAAAGAACATCAAGCGAAATTTAATTTAGTGGTTAACTCGAGACGAAAGGCTTAGAGAACTTGAAAAGAAGAAAAGAAGTGAGGCCTTAAACAGACTGAAACCACCAAGTTGTCCTCAGGATGTACGAGCCCGAAGAATTCGCTGAAAATGAAAAACTTGCGCTTTTCAAACATTGTTTATAACCATGTAAGAACCAGAAACAGAGGGACACTTCGGTATTAAAATTCACATGGCCAGCACCCAGATTTCATTTCTCCGCGACACTCCTATTGAAGAGATATTGCCAGCCTCACTTATCTTTTCCCTTCATAGGCCTCACCATGTTCCCACCTACTTCTCAGGGCAGACGGAATCCCAACAATTTCATTCGTTAGACGAAATGGTATTACCGAGACGGTTATGGAATAAGCACTGATTACACGTGCTATCAAACACGAGCAGTGTTTAGGTAGGGTAGTTCTACCTCATGACAATGGTTTCATCTTATCACACCACCGGTGGCTGGTAGCGTGAAGAGGACATAGCGTTATTGTATTCGTCACTACCAGACATCGACGGAGTTGCTGATTCGGAAATGGCCATTCCAATCTCTTGTACGAGAGATGGCACAAGACCTCAACATCGACTTGCGTTTCCAGCCGCCAGCAGTAATAGCTCTTCAGGAATCCTCTGCGGCTTATGTGGTCAGACTGTTCGTGGGCACGAACCTACGTGCGGTCAATGCGGACAGAGTTACTATCATACCAAAGGTCATCCGGCTGGCCTGTCGAATTCGAAGAGAATCACTTCACCTTGGCTGGACGTCCAAAAAGTTCAACGTAAAAAACGATGAAAGAAACTTTTCTACAAAAACTATTGTTACTAGCTCTATTGCAATAAGGGCGTGTGGCGCAGTGGGTAGAGGCGTCCCTGCGACATACACGTGGAACCGATCTCGGCGTCCATGGCCCACCAAGCCTTTCATGCCTCCGGGATCGTCAAAATGGTACCAAACTTGTTTGGGAGGATAGCAGCACTGGCTTGATCCATTGGTAGGCGACCCTGTCATTGTAAAGGCCAGATATACATTCAATTATCCCCAACGATACTTAATGAAGTCGAATGCATGGCGCATTCCTCAGGTATTGATTAAAGCCGAGAGCTTTACCCTTCTTTATCGTACTATTACTGAACTGATAAAAGTACTTAGCGAGAGACCTCATGCCTTTTAGATCTAATCGCTGTGCTTTGCTAAGAGTTGTGAATATCGGTGGCTGCGCCAGTAGGTAACTCCACAGATATGCGTTCGATTAATTTGTTAGAAATAAATAAAGAACATCTATTTGCTCATATTTGGAATTAAACAAGACATGTAAAGTATTGCGGTGCTTTGGCATTCGCCTTGATTGCAAACTCATGTGAAAAGTACGTGTCCTGCTCATGCTCCTTGCCTTATGTTAATATTATCAGTTCCGACTCCACAGAGAGGGATTTGCCTTCAACGACAACGATTTCAACACCCGATGAGGAGGAAGAGGAGGAAGAGGAGGAAGAAAAGAAGGAAGAGGAGGAAAAGACGGAAGAAGAGGAAGAGGAGGAAAAATCGACCAGCGAACTTTCCACAAAACCCCAGGAGTTCGCTGCTTCGATGGACGAGTCTACCACAGAGAAGGATGTCCAGACTTCCCCGTTGTGGACGCAAATACCCAATATAGATGAGGCCTTAGTTGCGGAATCAACGAAGAACGAGCCTCCTTCTGTTCGGTCGAAGTTAGTTACTATTCAGATATGGTTTTCAATGTTTACGATAGAAATAGCTGAGAGACGTGCGAAACAAAGGACCCGCATGGTGTGGTGGTGAACGCGTTACTCCCCGGAAAGGATAATAGCGCGTTCGTTCCCCACCATAGACACCTGCGGTCCAGAGTTTTGCAAATATCTCAGCAACATTGTGGTTGTATTTCGCTTAGTAACCTGCCATGAAAATTATAGAAGGCAGAAAACAAAACGTTAAAACATTGTGATTTCAACTACAGCCATAGCTTAACTGGGTTCTATGCAGATTTGCGCTCCCCAGATCAATCCCGCTGACGGGTGATTGCTGTGGCAAAAAGATCGATAGAAATAGCTGAGAGACGTGCGAAACAAAGGACCCGCATGGTGTGGTGGTGAACGCGTTACTCCCCGGAAAGGATAATAGCGCGTTCGTTCCCCACCATAGACACCTGCGGTCCAGAGTTTTGCAAATATCTCAGCAACATTGTGGTTGTATTTACGATAGAGTTCAATAAACGGTTGCAATGAATTCCCATTGATATAATGCCCAAGCTGGCCCATCGAATTCGAGGAGAACGACCTCATCCTTGCTGGGCGTTTAAAAAGTGCTACGTAAATAATGAGGAAAGAAACTTTTGGAGAAAACTAATGTTACTAGTCCTACTATTACTGCACTGATAAAATTACTTAGTATTCGATCTCATGCGTTTTAGAGCTAATCGCTGTGTTCTTGTAAGACTTGTAAATATTGGCGATTGCGCCAATGCGTAGCCTTGCAGATATGCACTCGGTGTATTTGTTAAAAGTGAATAAAGAGCATCTATTCGCTTATATTTGAAATTAAATAAGACATGTAAAGCTTTGCCGCACTTCGACATTCGCCCTGAATGCAAAATCATATTAAACGTGCATATCTTGCTGGTGCTCCTTTTTCTGTGTTAATATTATCAGCTCCGACTCCTCTGAGATGGATTGCCCAGCAACAACAACAACAACAGCAACGGTTACAACACCTAATGAGGAGGAAGAGGAAGAAAATCGGCGATCGAACCTTCTACTGAACCCCAGGAGTTCGTTTCGGCGAATAGACCAACCACAGAGTTCGCTACATCGATCGACGGGCAGGCCTACAACAGAGGAGGATTTCGCGGCAACAACGAACATACCCACCGTAGATGAACCGTTGCCTACGAGATCACCGAAGAAGGAGTGTTCTTCCGTTCGGTCGATGTTAGTTAATACATAGATTTGGTTTTCAATGTCTACGATCGAGTTCTATCAACAGTTGGGATGAATTCCCATTGCTACATTTTGCTGAGCTAAAGTCGAAAAGGTTGGGCATTGAAATGTATTAAATCGCTAAAAATTCTACGTTCGCTTTAAATTCTGAAGTGATGGCTAAAACTGAAAAACATTTTTTGTTTCTAGGAGTAAAGAAACGGATATGGTAGCGGAAAATGTGGCAGCCTTAGATAGGAATGGTCATTTCTCCTTTTCCGTACCCTTCCTTGTGCTGGAACTTCTAAATGAAGCTTTTCGTTTTTGATATAATTTTTGTGGAATAAATGATTGAATGAAGTTGGAGGATTAACTTCAGTGCTGTTGAAAGCACTGATCAATTCGACACCAAGTTATTTGAAATCGAAAGCGAAGATTGCTAAAGGCTAACAGATGGTTGTTACACGACTTTTTCATGTCCAAGGTTCAGACGCCATCGTCTTCATCACAGCCGCGATGGCATGACTCGAGTGTTCTCATGACTTAACCCTTTTACGACTGCGGCCATTATCTGCAGTTGATATTATTAGCAGGTTTTATGTGATTGCTGAAGTGTTCTTCCGTGTCTATTTTAGGTTTTTATATCCATCGATTTCACACCTCCCCCTTTCCCCATCCCAAACACCTTTTTGCAAGTATAGGTGAGAATACCTATCTAAGAACTAGTCCCATTTAAAAAATCTATGCGTGGCATGCCATCGATTGACTGCAGAGTCGCGGAGGTGTTATGTGGTCAAAAAATAATGAATATACGCGAAAATTTTGAAAGAGGAGCACTTTTGTTCAATCCAGTGGTCTGAATCACCTGTATCACCTGTAGTCCCGTTGATCGTCGAAAGACGAGCGAGCTTCCACTTTTTATCTTATCCCTAAACTTTCCAATTTTTCCTGTCGCCTGAAAGAAGAGCCCAGTGGGTACTGCTCGCTCATCGAGCATCACATCATGTTGAGTGAGTCGATCGCATTCTTCGTTGATGTTATCGACAATGGCATCTACCCAGCAGGGCACTAATGAATTGAATAAGTCCCAGTTTGTGGTGGTACTGGGACTTCGGTTTTTGAATTTAGCGGCTTTTTCTTCCTTCCGCGAGAAATAGAATCTAGCACGAAGGAGACGGTTGTCTGATCCCGCGTAGAATTTTGGAACAACAGCGACATCGGTCAGGCAAAGCCTTCTGTTTACTATGTGGTCTATTTCGTTATGGTACTCTCCATTGGGAGACCCCACATTCCGCTTTGAGGGTGGGGCTTCTGGAATTGCGAGTTGCCATGGATGGTCTTGGTCGCTATGATAAACTCAGAGAACGCTGACCTTGTTCGTTCCATGCTAGTCCGTTGGTCTCAATGTAGCGTTCTTCAGACGTTCTTCTTGGTTCAATCTTGGCATTGAAATCTCCAATGATGATCTTGAAAAAAGTGTCGTCTTCTCTGTAGAACAGAACTTCTCCAACTCCATATAGAACGCTTCGACTTCTTCTTCGTCATAGTTTGATGTGGGCGCGTAAACAGCGAAGATTGTCAAGGCCGGCAGTGATCCACATCCTTTTAATCGTAAACGTCCGATTCGTGTTATAAGCTGTTCGAACGCCGTCTCTACTATCGCATGTTCCGAAGAACAGTTCTTCTGCAGCGTTGTAGACGGCGTTGAAAGGCTGGCGTCTTCTCATCTCAGCCAGGCCGATGCCGTCGTACTTTATCCTTCTTGCTTGCGTGAGCAAGTCTTTGATCGAGGACTCGGATGCAAGTGTACGTTCATTGTAAATACAGATCGTCACCACATTTCTTTGAATTCCAGGCGGCTTAAATTGGCCCTGAGATTTTAGCAGCCTCTCCGTACTCGTCCTGCTCAACGCTGTGAAATTGGGGGCTCTTTCGAGGTCAGGGGAGTGAGGCCGGTTTCTTTTTAATGTGTTTAGCATTTTTGATACCCACGTATAGCTTGCTGAGCTTTGAACATGGGGACTGAATTTACTCACGAGTGGCTTGCCAGGCTCTCCCAGACTGGACATGGAACTTATTTGTTGGAGGTGACTCCTAACCGCCTCCCATATACTTCCCTGTTACTTGACTACCGGCTTTGGCAGAATTGACTCGTAGAATACAATCCGCATAAGCGAGAACGCACCCACATACGCATGGATGAATACGCCTAGCAAATACAGAAAGTATGTGCCAAATCGGCGCAGCAGATACTGGGTGTCCATTCACTGGATCCACCTGCGTCTCAGGGAAGCGGTAGCTTTTGGTCCTTAACCCCCTATCCGCTACCAGGAGACGCGCCACGTGGTCTCGTGACTAACTGGTTTGAGATCCCTCATATGAGGGAGATCCGTGGAGTGGACTGTGAATAAATGTTAAAATTCACAAGCTCTTCACCCCCTTTACGATTGCGGCCGTTTTAGCTGCATATGTATACACATAAATAATGGGACACATATATTATTATTTATTTCAGTTTATATTCTTTATTTTACTTAGTTGTTTTAGTGATATCTTCAAAGGAACCAACATTCGCTCGCATAAAGTGTAGCTCCTTCAACGTTGTGGGCACGTTCGTTACCATTGCGAAGTTATCTTAAGCAGATTAGGTTTGATCATATCTACGAACATACTTACTTAGATACATGGTTGGTTCATCTTCACGAGCAATGCTGACCTCAACACATTTTCCATTCGTCTTTTCCTCGCGCAGTCGTCGCCCATGATGGTGATGTTCACAGGGCGCTATTCATGATCTTTGCCATGGAATTCGTCACGCAAATGCGGTTGTTTGGCGTCAGCCATGTACATATCGTCATATCGTGTGATCACGTGAAGTGATCGTTCAAGAGGACGCTTTTATCATTATGCAGTCCACTTTGGCAGTTTTTTAGTCAACTGCTTCCATTATTATCCGACCTGCCCAACTTTGCTTTATTATTGATGTATATTCTCCTGGATATAGTAGAACATTATATTCGAGGAATTCTCGACTACACTTCTTCGTTTTTGAGCACCATCTTCTGTTTGTGAGAACGCGGAGGAGGAAGTCTTAGCCGTGTTGTTGGAGAACTCTCATGTATATAGGCGAAATGCTTTGTTTACGAAAAACAAATTAGCGTAGAAGAGATGAGTTGTCGACGAAGTCCTGCAAAACGGTTTCCATTTTCACATCGAGCTCCTAGTCCAAATTTTCGTGTTTTGTACATTTTCATCGACCTTTCCTACTTTATCGTTGAAGTCTCCAACAACAATTTCATGGACAGATTTCTCGCTGAGAATAAGCTCCTCTATCTGATTATGGGACGTATCTGGTTCCGCTTCATCAGCTGCACAAGCTGGTAAGTAGCAGTTGGTGACACTGATTCTACCGACTTTTATTGGCTTAAGGGTTGGAGACAAATAGTCAAGCGACGTGATAGGATCTAGTATACAACGACATCATGCGCAACAAATGAATGTATAAGAAAAATAATTTCACAAAATTTCGTGACCTAATTTCTCCCAACGAATGATAAGTCTTTGTTATCTATCGTACCTGATAAATGCCATATTGCGATGTTCCTGCTTTTCGTTCCTTATAGAGCGATCTCATTGAATATGATGCTTCTAATGACCTCAAATATTGAGTGGAGAACGGTGTCTAAAGTATTCTGATAGCGTGTCGTTGTTGTGTTCTTTAGGCTCGGTTCCAGTGATGCCTTGTTTAACCCAAAATCTGATTGCGTCTCACGGTTGTCTCACCGCCTAACGTCGTAGGCAGGCGCGTGTTGCGTGAGCGCTGTTCACGCTAAGCTATTGCTGGATGAGCAGTTTGTTGTCCACTGTAGTGTTAATGACTGCCTATCTGGAGCTTTCTTGAAGCGCTCAGTACTAGAAGTGGCAGCAGTGGATCAAAGGGATATTTGCTACCTTGCGATTAGTTTGATACCAGAATGGTGATGAAACCCGTTGTTAGTTTTTTTTACAGCTGGGCTTCCGAATGGAAACGTCGAAATCCTCGGCTTGGGAGTTCCTCTGTAGGAAAAAATGCAGCTGCATGGCAGTGTGGGAAGTGGAATGAATCCCATAAGCAATTAAATATCAGTTCATCACAATGTAGACGTTATTACTTAGAAATACTTGGTTCATTGCTTCGTTTTTTAATGTGACACCTTCCGTTGTCTGGGTTTTCTAACCAGAGGAAAGCATTGATCGGATTTCTTCTGTAGGTGAGAAATACCAGCACATGCCGCAATATGTGCAGTGTATAACTTAATTATTCACAAAGAGAAAGAAAAAATGATTAAAGTACATTTGTAAGATAAATAGCGGGGTTAACGACTTATAACATAATGGCGGCGTAAATAGTGAAGAAATACTATGACCAGCCATCAATCTTGAGCCAATATTAGAAGAATGTAAAAACGAATAGGATACAATTTATTTTAGTATTACGAGCCAAATTTTCACCTGGGCTTCCATCAAGGTTTGCTAAAATGAAGACCACAGCTCATATGTTTAGTGAACAGAGTTATCCCTAAGCTCTGAAACATCACGCACATTCGAGAGAATGCATGAGGACAATGGGCTGCATCATCCTTACTCTCGTGAATTCCAGAGCGAATTAACTGAGCACCAAATAAGGTCTCTATCTGGCACTACCAATGCTTTCCCAATGCGCGGCGTTCTCTTAGTTGTTACGAAGAGCGCCGCATTCTTCGCATCCTTCGTATGAGATTAGTTTGCCGAGCTTTGCTGCACGATAACTTTACATTCAACTGCTCTTCCGAGTTAGGATGTCGAACCTTCTATGATGGATAATTATAGTGAGGGAAAAAGCGTTGATATGCATTGTATTTTAACAGGGAGCTATACTTAGCAGCCTAGACGGCAAATCATTATGGGGATTTGCGATCATTTAAAATTTTACTTTAGAACAGAAAACATTTTTTGGACAGCGTTTAATGTTAAGGAAATGAAATACAGTGACACACCTCTACTTCCAGCACTATTCGGCACTCTGGCGTATACTTCTTGGCTGTTCTGTTTCTGCAAGGTGCATTTCATTGAACCATGTTCCTCCTGTCAAACTCTCGTGATTTTTTTTCATAGAACGTTTACCTAACGTCTTCCATTTTTGAATTACGTATTGATGGAATATTCCTATCAAACGTGCCTTTCACCGACGACATCGTCATCTTCTCAAGAAGTGGAAACAAAGCAGAGATAGTGATCAACAAGCTCACATACTGTTCCCTGCTATAAAGTTGAAATTGTGATTTCGACTACAGCCTCAGCTTAACTAGG